CTCATTTCAAAAAAACAGTGCGCTTAGCATATAAACTGCAATTACTGCGATCTTTTTACGGATATTTTGTTTAGTGTCACAGCTGTGTGGAACTTTCCCACACAGCTATAGCACTGAAACAATCTTATTTAATTTGTTGAATTTTTAAAATTGTTTTTTAAGCATTTCACCCCAAGTAAGGCTGGAGTGCCCCTAGCACGCACGCAAGGGGTTACAGAGATTGGGAGTAAAGGGACGTGATAGAGGAAAGGATGAAGAGAAAGGCGGGGAATTAAATGATGGTATGTGAAGATGTCGATTGACATTGTATTTGTTGTAGTCGACAAAATCAAAAATAAACAACGCACATGCCCAAAATTAAAAATATAAAATGGTGACAATTTAAGTTTATACCATTTCATATTCAATAAATCGATTATTTCTATATAACCATATACAAAGTGCTTCTCCTCTTTTTCGGAGAGAAAGAGTAAGATTTATTTACATCAACATAAGCCTCACTTTAGTCCGATGAAGTCCAAAAGGACGCGTTACACGAAAAATCTTTTCTACACTGTCATAGATTTTCCGTCCGGTTCACACTCCTCCCCGGTCTTTTGAACAGGAGTAGAGGTTTATCCCTGATTAGTATTTGTCTTCCGGTTCCTTCAAAAGTCTACTTCAGCTTCTGTACTACTAACTGTACTGCGCTTGAACTCTGAATTCTCATTTACTAACTAATTATTTCATTTTATTTTATTTTCTCTTCTCTAACAATCGGAGTAGATAGGTTCACCTATCGCCCGGTTCACATTCCTTTCCGGATTTTGGATAGGAGTAGAGGTTTATCCCTTGCATCCTATTTAGAATTGGGTTTCCAGTTCCTTCTAAAGTCTACTCCCCCTCTATACACATGACACTTGTCATTTTCTACACGAATATAAATCCCTCTACCTTGATTGGCTCTTAGGCCTTGTAGTGGCTTAACATTAGTATACACCGGTTGCAACAACAAAGTTTTCCAAATCATGTAACAGCATAATTGTCCATCCCACAAAAGGTTTAATATCCAAAAACTACTAAATTAATTTAGTTTTTTTTCCAGGTTTTTAGATAAGACGTTTAGCCGTAAGCGATCTAAAATCCGAAGAAGAAGCTTTGAAAGCTCTTTGAATTTAGCAGTAAGTACTGTCAAGCATCCGTTCAGTATAATGTTCTGGGGATGCTTTTCTTTTTATGGAAGTGGTTTCTTAAAACCTTTTGAAAAGACCCTCAGGAGCGAGCAGTACAAGAGAATTTTACAGTCTTGTCTGCTCCCTTCTGCTGAAAGGGTGCAAATCGACCCCACCAAGTTCATTTTTATGCAGGATAATTCACCTTGTCACAAATCAAAATTGATGAAGGAATACTTTGATCAGAAGCAGCTGAGTGTTATGACATGGGCGCCCCAATCTCCTGACCTCAATCACATAAAAACTTATGGAGCATGTTGCTCAACTGCTTTCTCGAGGCCCTGTACTTTATAATGCTCCCCAAGTTTTCTATCGGGTTGAGGTCAGGAGATTGGGGTACCCATGTCATAACATTATCCTGCATAAAAATGAGCTTGATGGGGTCGATTTGCACCCTTTCAGCAGAAGTAACTTAAAGATGTAATATATATATATATATATATATATATATATATATATATAAAAACATAAAAAATGCCTTAAAATAATTGTCGGACTTTGTCCATTTCATAATGTGTGACGTCATTTGTTTACATTTGGATACGCATCTAGCAGATATAAATGTACAAGAGAAAATCATAGAAAAGTGTAGTTTAAAAACAGTACAATCGACCTGGCTAACCGAAACGCTCCTCTGTGGCACAATCAGTAAAAACACGTCAGTCTATATGACGGTTCTGTATAGGATACAAGTTCAATTCCTGTCGGAGGACGCATATTTTCTGTGAAAAATTTCTCGGACATTCAGGCTGGTAAATGTTGTTTAATACTGTTTATTATAAATAGAGCATTTACTTAAATATTTGTATCTACAAAAAGAACGTATAAACATAAAAAAAATCTTATATATATATATATATATATATATATATATATATATATATATATATATATAATCATCCACAGACAGACAGTTTTGCTGTATCGCAGCTCATCAGTGTGGATAGACATCCGATTGTCTCAAGCCGCGATCGAAATCGACTGATTTGGCAACAGTTGTAGATTTTACCCCTGAGCGTTCAGCACCCGGTAGAGAGGATAGCAAATTTTTAGATACCTATTCTTCGTTTAAACACGCCAAGAGAGCTCATTTAATAGAAGAGCTTTATTATGAAAAATATGAATTAAATCCGACAGAATAATTAACTAAGGGCGGGGGTGGAATAGAAAAACGTTTCTAAATTCAGAATTTATTTTAGGACTTTAAGATGAAACTAAAATAACATTTTAAATTTATAAACCCTTTTCTATTTTTTACTTATGTAATCATATATATATATATATATTGG